CGCCTGATCACCTCCCGGAGATCGTGGTTGGCGTGACTCTTGTCTCCCAAGCGTTGGTGGACAGAGCGACGAACTACCGGGAGGCTTCGCTCTGGCCGGCTTTCCCCCGTCTGCTCTGTGGGAGCCGGTCTGGTACTCCTGTCGCGGCGGTTCTGAGCCTCGCGGTTCGGCGATTGAGCCGTGGTTTTGGATTTTGCTGGGTTCCTCTGTCCACCGGTCTCCTTTTCAGGAGTGTGGAGCAGAGTGTTGCCGGGGTTCTCCGTGGGCACCACAGTGTTCGCCCCGGCGGTTTGACTGGCGAGGGCCTTGGCGAAGACTCCCTCGAGGGCTTTTAGGACGTCGGGGTGCTGCAACGCCGCAGCGAAAGTGGGAACTGGGGGTACGGGAACGATCGGTCCCTGCTGGGCGCGACGGGAGGACTCCCCGCCGTTGCGGCGGCGAGACTGGGAGCCGGACTGCTGAGTGGAGTCGTCATGTCCGGATGAAGGCATTTTGAAAGTGAAAAGGTGGAAAAGGATGAGTGCGATGTGTGTAGTTTCACAAGATCGAAAAATTGACACCAAGCAACTTATGGTGCCCTCTTTCTAGCGCCAAACTGTTGACGGGCGTTTCCGATCAACGGTTAAAAAGTCAAATGATGTAAAGAAAACGAAGAAAAGACGAGGAAATACGGTTTAATTACGGTTTTATTGATAGATCACGAGTTCGGCCTCTCGTACGAGGTCGGCACTTGCGATATACTTATGTTGCTTACAAGAATTTCTTACAAGTTCTTTAGAGAGAGAAAATATGGGCTCGAGTAGTTGGGATTTCAACAACCCAAAAATAAATAAAGGGGTTGCTATTTATAGGAGGCTTTAATGCGGTACTGTTTGGGTACTGTTCAGCGGTCTTGTCGCACAGTAGCTCAGAGGGACAAACCGGCGCTTCTCTGACTGATTGAGAGTAATTCCCGGATTCTTCAATCATTACCTGCCATACATTTAATGCGAACGTGGGCTGCATTAAATGCGGACACGTTCTGGCTGAGCTGGACGTCCCATCGGCAATCATTTGCAGACAAGTGGTATTATTTTACTGTATTTGAGATCGGATTTTTATCCGGGGCCGTCTTGGTGAGACTTCCGACGGAATGCCGACCTCGTACCTTTACGTGTGGGGTGCCGAGTTCGGGGTCTGTTCCTCTCGCCGTTCTAGACGACTTTGACTTTAGGTCGGCTCGGCACCCACGTGCTACTATGTTGACCGGCACCTTTGACTCAGCCTGGCCATCGTTCAGTTATCGATATGCTGGACCGACTCCTCTTATTGGGGGCTGGACTCGGATATCAACAAATCTTTTGTAAATTTTATTTCTATATAAGTATTTAATATATCTAAGTAAAAAATATGAATAATAAATAAAAATAAAAATATTTTTAATTATTTGTTTGAAATATATTTTTAAATTAAAACTTTTTAATATAATTTAATCATGATTTTATATTATGTATTATATATTTATTTCTCATTGTTATTTGTTAGTTTCATTTTTACATAAATGACTTCCAAATATATATGGGAATGAATAAGGGAACGGTCATTTTATTATCATATCATTACACCATACGAATCATGCCATTAATGTGTAAGAAACTAATAAGTTTTAAATTAACCTTCCCAAAAAAAAAAAGTAACTAGTTTGAATAAATGAAGATGGATTTATAAGAGCCTACTCCAAAAAACTATAATGATATATTATAATTCTAAGGCAGGTTGTCATTATTACTAATCAATAAATTAATTAAAAATTAGACTGAAAATAAATTTGTGATACTCTTCATTGTGACTTCATTTTATCCTCCCTAATCCATGAAAGAGAAGTCTTTATGCTAAAACATATTAATTAGTATTGAATATATATATAGGTTACTCTTAATTATTTAACTTTCATATATAAGAGCCAATGGATGTTAATTCCAAAAGTCATCACATCAAGTGTGATCTATATTACCATGACATCAACACTCCTAAGACTAAGACTCCTTTTGAACGGAGTGTTAATTAATTACGGCGAACTTAATTATATTGTTGATAAAGCATTATAGGTATTGAACACATAAATAACAAAGTTTGGGCATGCTAATGAGTTCAAATATAAGCATCAAGTTCCCTAAAGTGCAGCCAAATTGTGAAAGCAAAAGCTTGTGAGGTTTTGATTAATTACTTTTGTTTGCTTTTGTATGGTTTTGATGGTGATGTTTCTAGTAAGCATCCGACACAAGTGGCTACTTAGCCTCATTTAATTTGGCTTTATGTTCATAATCCCTCTTGAAATTATCGCAATTTAATTAGTGGAGGTGATTGAAGAATTAATCATAATTAAAATTAAACTTTAGACATGTTGAGAGGTGAAGACTACGATTCTCGATTTCAAATAACCTAAATGGATTCTATCTAATAATTGCGGTCATATATCCGACAATTAGGTATGCAAAATATCAATTGCATAGTACGAACGACTTTAATAAAGATTGAAGAAAATGAAATATCACATAAATACATGACTTAATGTTATTTCTACTCTTTGCAAGGAGGTGGAGGAAATATCTTAGTGTAGCCACGTTAGATGGTTAACTATTTTTGTTATAATGAAATGTCACAAAAGTTTGCAGCTTAATTTTTTAATTTCCACTCTTCTTGAAGGATATATACTTCGTGTGCTTAACAACTGAATATGTTTTGAGAGAGTTCACATATGAAATCATATCTCATATTTCAACTTTATATCCCGTTTTGCATTTCATTTTATTCATTAAATGTTATATTTACAAATTAATTATCATCATATTAATTATCATCATTTAATTTACACATGTTGTTCATTCGGTTGAATAAAATACAAAATTAATACAATGTTGTCTATAATAATTGATATTCATTCAATTGAATAAAACACGAAATGAAAAGTGAAAACAACGTTGTCTATAATTGACCTGCAAATAGTAAACGTGTTACATTCCTTTTATAAGAGTAATAATTTTTCCTCCTAAAACAAAAATAAGAAACTAAAAGAGGCATCTAAAAAGAAGAATAAAGAAAAAGATGGTATGATTGAAGTGTGCACGATTGCACAAGACTTGGCCAAACTCACTCGATGTTGAAGTTTTGCACATTTTGCAGAAACATTAAATCATTCATCAGCTGTATATCACTACCACCATAATTCCATCATTCAATAGTCATAATTTTTATGCCTTTTTGGACCACCATCCGACCCTATTTATAAGTCCTCATGGAAGTTTCTATTATAAATATTTTAGCATAAATTCTTGTATAAAATTGTCTTATTATCAACTGTCGTTCATTATTTTTTTACTACAAAATGCATATTCATACTATGAAATATCATACTTTTATTTATTTTGTTTTTATGAGTATGATATTTCTTTAAAAGTAATATATATATTTATTAAAAAAATATGGCTAACTAACTGTTAGGTCTGCGTAACTTCAACTTTACTAATATTGTAGTTATGTTTCTAATAAAAAATTTCGTGAAACAACATTATTTTCTATTTAAATTTAGCGATAAGTAGCCTTAATATTCACAAATCACAATCATGATAAAAACCAAGTTGATAAGAGTAATAAACGTTAAATTGGTAGAAATAGAGAAGTTGGATTTCAAAATGCCTAAAAAGACAATCATTATAAAATAGCTTTGATTAGATTAAAAATAATTAGTGCCCTCAATCTATATTACATTATCCAAATCATGTTTTTACCTTGTTGATTATAATTTATCAGGTTGATTAGGCAGGGTCCCCCAATAAAACGTGGAGGTAATTGGGTGCGAGTTTATTAGCATAGAAGGACATTGTTAAATTAATCATCTTGTCCCTATATGGTCTTTAAAAAGCCTAATTAATCACTGTGTTTAAGTAGTAATTCACAATATAGTGCTTGCCTTTCGGCTTTTCTAAGCTGTTCTGATTTGAGTGTAGGGGTTGACACTTGATAAAATAAAACAAGTCGTATTTGAATCCTCTTTAGATGTTCAAAATCTAGGAATTATTCATTTTAGATTTGTTCGGGGTAAAACAATTTTAATTGAAGTTTTTGGATTGAGATTTTGAGCCATTTGAAGGAGAAATTATTAAGTTATTTCTGAAGTAATATACACCACTTTTTATGTTTCATTGTCTGTCTTAGGTGTGTACTCTTTTTGTTTTTGTTTTAGACAAACATAGTTTGTCGAGTCGTTTGGTCCCGGTGGCGCTTTTTCGGGAAGTTTGTCGAGTCTTTTGGTCCATATCTAGTTAGCTGCTGGGGGAGTTTCTAAATCTTATGTGTGGGCGTGGGTGGACGTTCTTGGTTGGTTACCTCGTGTCTGTGTTTGTTTGGAGGCATTCTGGAGTGGCTCGACGGTTGGTGAAGAAGGCTTTATTCTAGCTATTAGTTTTTCTTGTGTTGGTTTTTACATGTTCTGTTTTTTTCTCTCCCGTTAAGAGCATGTTTCGTGTATTCTTCACTAGTGAAAGCTTTTTCTTCTCTCGTTGAGAACTTTTGTGATTGGTTCTAGGCTACCTTTGGCGCAATCTTCCCACCTAGAGTCAACTGGATAGCTACCTATTCAGCTATTTAGCAGGTTTTTAATTTGAAATTAGGTGTTTTTTCATGAAAGTCTTATCGTTTCGAAAAATATATATATGTATATATATATATATATATTTTTTATTTATTGAGAGACTTTGTCTAGTTTCTCTAATCTAAAAGTGTCAATGGACTCGCATAAACACGGGATATGAAGTTGGGCCTTCATCCTGGCTTTGGGCCTCAGGCAAGTTTGGTCCATAGGGCCTGAATTAACCAAGACCAGTGTATATAGCTCCACCCAAACCCTCCTCAAGAACTAGTATAGTACCTCATTGCAACTACAAGATACTCGTATATTCTAAAGCTAAGCAGAAATGAATGATGCCACTGCCGCACTCAATAGAGTTTCCTCAA